CTTGCCAATCTTGAAAAGTTTGAGGACAAACATACCAAGTACTTTTTGCTACCAAATAAAAAAAAAACTAGAATTATAATTCGCCTTAACAAGATTACGTACTGACCAGATGAAACATTGTATCCGTGTTGTCTTAGAAGGCGAAAACGAAGAGTGAAATCATACAAATTTCTATCATGAACGTGGTCTTGATAGGAATCATTTATATGTTGAAGTGCTTCATCAGTTTCTCTTTCGAAATGGTACTGACACTCCTGAATGCTGAACTGCATCGATTAACTTCAATGGTTCAGAAGAATTCTTTGCATTTACCTCTTTCCTTACCACTTCTTTTAGTTCTTCAACTTGCTGTTTAGTCCATTTGTTTCTCTGCAGCAAAAAGTATATTCTCGTTATGAGTAATACTAATGAAATGGTACGTTGTGCATTTTTCTAGAATATATATACACACACAGATATATATTATCAAATAATGGCTATAATACTGCCATATTGTCTCGCAAATCGTAGTTGAGAAATCGGTCTGCCCAAATGCTAGGATGAAATGTGGCTGTTCATCTAAGGATTTCAGGTTTAGTATTTGGGGCGAGAACTGGGATAGTGACATTCATGGTATAGTAGTCTTCGAAGCAGTTACAAAGGAGAATTTCGGTTACTCTTACAAGTAAGCTTTTTCAATTTTTCTGAATGTGGTTGCGATCTGGTTTGCCGGCTTTTGGCGCTTGTGTATTTATAGACCAAGAAATGGATTCAAGTACAGATTAGCTCAATCTATTTTCTTAGGTTCCAATTACCAATATCAAGGTAAATTAGAGAGGTTAGGGAGGGAAAAAAAAACAGAGTTGAGAAGTGTGTTATTTTTTTTTGTAATATTTTTTCATCATAATAATTTTCTGTAAGAGTAAGGAAAAAAAAAAAAAAAACGTATTTCTTAGGTTTAGAGTGAATCATTATAAATCTTATGTGTGGTCTTATTTGATTTTTTATGTGCGATTTAAATTTTATTTTTTTCCAAGATAATACATGATAACTAGCTATTCGTTTACATATACAATCATTTATAGATCTATTGTAACTGTTAAGTTTAAGGTTTTAGGCTATTTAAACACGTAATGTAAGTAGCTAGATGCATGCCACCAATACTATACATGTCCAGAAAATATCAGCCTCATGCATTCGGGCCTCAACCAAACAGAATAGATTAATGTTTTACATCTCTTTCCTATGATCGCAAGAGAAATGCACAATTTTGTTCTTTTCCAATGACATCCCATAAGAATGTGTTATGACAATGAGTACAAAAGAAAGTTTATTTATATTTTTGCCAAAATTATATGGCACAATAAAAAAAAATGTAACTTTGCACGAGAATTTGTTCTTTAGGGTAAGATCAAAGGAAGATGAATGCCAATCACTTCAAAATGATGACGCTGTAATTACTCCAGACTAGTAATAAGTTAGTTGGGGATGTGATGAACACTTAAAGTATACATTTAATAAAAGAATATATCATCATTTTACATTTAGAGTCAATAAATTCCCTAATTATAGTATTTTTTTTTTTTTTGTGTTTTGAAGGCCGAAAATTATTGTTGTCCATATTTTGGGCGGTAAATGATCAATTTTGACGCGGGTTCAGTAAAATAGTAATAATCTGCAGTTTTCCAAATGAAGTAAATTTAATATGGATTTTGTTAGGTATTTTTATTAGTTGACAATCTTGTAAAAATTCAAAAAGCAGCTTTAAGAAGATTTCGTATTGCAGAAGAAGATTCGAAATTAAAGTTGCAGATTTTGTTGAGTTGAGATTTAGAGAGATAAAGTTAAAGACTTGGTCAAATGAAGATAAGACATTGGTTGAAATTTAAAGAGATAGGGATGGAACCTTGGTCAGAGGAAGATAAGACAATGGTTATTTGAATTTAAATGAGATTCTAAAAAGGAGAATTTAAATTGATGATTATCTGGATTTGGAAAGGCTATAAACATAGAGGATTTGAATTTTAAAAGGAGATATGGTAGTAAGATAAAGTGAAGATAAAATCTTGACTTTGAAGTTCAAACAAGATGTGAAGAGTCGGTAGAACAAAAAGCTTGATGTATTACGTGAAGCATATGAGGTTTGCATGTGATAACTATATATTGTTAATGTTAGAAGTGAAAGGAGCTTGGAGAAGAAGGTCACGAGTGAGGTAAGATAGATAGGATTATGTGCTATAAAAGTGATGGTGGATGAGAAGGTTAAATCCGAATTCAAAGTTTAAAAAGGATAAACTTTGAGTTTCAATGGGGATCATATATTGATGATTAATGAGGAGATAATTACGTAAGAAAAAGTAAAGCATATCTTGCTTTATTGATAGTAGAGAGAATCGTGGAGTATGTTCAAGTTTGATTTGGAAATTGCCGAACTAAAGATAAGGTCATATTCGGAATCTTTCATTGTCAAAAATCAGGACAAAGCAGATCATGTTTTCAGCTATAGTCGTGCTCAGCGTGTCTTCGTATACGTCCAATGGAGCAGATTTTGGTGTCCCTGTGAAGATAATAGAGCTTCAACTTTCCAGATTCGGATGATATCATTGAGAAAATTAGCCACCAATCACTGTGTTCCAAATTGGCTTCATGCTAAAAAGTCATCCCTGCATAGTAATTTGTAGGTCCGAACAGAGCCAGCTCTTCCTTAAGGCCAATTAGGCAATTACCAAAATCCCCATACAAGTAATAGTCGTAATTAATTATATCTATCTAATATGATCATTTTGCAAATAAAAGTAAAACAATCAAGAACAAATCAATATTTTGAAGATAATAAAAGAAATACCGATCATAACAGTACTCCTTGGTATTGATTCTTCGATTAACTCAAGAGTTTATTCTCTCTTTAATTATAATGTAAAACTCTTCACGTCTTCGATGTTACAATCGATAAATAATCAATATAGATTTAATATTGATCATTACTTGCATTTAATTGTCGATCATTACGCTACTTGATGTTACCTTGTGATCCTTGAGCTTCCTCTTTTAGTCCGCATATTAATGTTTTGACACTCGAATGCTCGGATACACGGATGCTCGGATGCTCGGGCACTCGGACACTCGGACACACGGACGCTCGGATCATCGGACATTCAGACGCTCGGATGCTTGGACACTCAAACACTTAGACAATTGGACGTTCGGACACTCATATGCTCGGGTGCTCCAGCGCCCAACCCATTAGTGTTCGGACTTTGCATAAGCCATGTGGCATAATGCCAGTTATAAATATATTATTGCAAAAATCCCATCCAACACCTTTGATAAGAACACTTAAATTAAAACAATGATTATTTAATTACGTAAGAAGATATTTTTGTAATTATATTCGTAAAGTTCTTATATTCAAAAATATAATAAACACTGGAAAGAGAACTGAATTGTTTCTTATTTTACTTTCTATAGATAATTATTAAACACTATCTTTGTAGAAGAGATCATTTGCTCTTGATAAATTAAGAACTCGAATTAGAACACGCTTAGGCACATCTGTTGGCTTAATTAGGAGCCGTTGGTTTATATCTTTCCATGCCTTAACCACTTGTTTATTCAATGCTTCATACGCCTCTTACTCTGACACTCTGTGTTGCTTTGCATAGCATTTAACAGAAGATGCTATATGTTCTCTCTCTTGCTCAAACTATAAAGAAAAGAAAAAAACTAAAATTGATCATGTACTTATTACATAAAAATTTAAGAACAAATTGCTCATGAGTACTCATCATCATAGCTATTGTATTATGGTATATTTAATACTTCATATGGGACAGAACGGGAAAAAGAACAATTTTTTTTTTCGTTTTTAGGACTCTCTACCTTATTTAATTATGAATAATGTGATGGACACCAACTCAAATTAGGTGTTGAAAATATTATCACGTCAATTAATGATAAGATATTGCATCTATCAATAAAAATATAACAATTCAAATGTCACATTGTCTATTTTTATGGTTTTGCGACCTGCCTATCTAAGTGGGAGAGTTTTAAAACACTATAGGCGACAGTTAAATAGTAACTGTGAGGAATATCTCTAAGTTTATCTTTGCGCGGACAGAGAGGTGAGCGCTTTGGCACTGGTTTGGCAGCGCTTTGGCGCCGCGGCCTGTCTCTAAGTTAGTCTTTGCGTGGACAGAGAGATAAACGCTTTGGCACTGGTTTGGCAGCGCCTTGGCATTGCGGGCTGCATGAAGTAGCGCTACGGTGCTGGATGAGTGGCGCCGCGGCGCTGGTGCGAAATCAGCAAAATGGAAACTGTGAGTTTTTGGCCGAAATTTCCTTTTTGGTTGAGAAACATACCAATCGACTAGGGCACGTCTTGGAGACTACACAAAGGGCTTTGGGGGTTATTTAAGGGTTAGGAAACATAGAGAAAGGGTTGGCTTGGTGGTTGTAATCCAGAGATAACAAGTGAGAGAGTGAGAGAGAATTGAGAAGGGTTCTTTGGAGAATACTCTTGGTATCATTCTTGTAATCATTTGTTATTGATCATAGTAGACGAAAGCACCATATTGCAGGATTAGGATCTTACATTGAGGTCCGAACCTGGGTAAATCTTGTGTGTCGTTATTCTTCTTCATTGCTTTACGTATAATTTCGCATTGAATTTGTTTTTCTGATTATTTGTTTGATTCTTATTTCTCGCAAACCGTTGATTCGTGTACTTGAATCTGTCAGAATTCCGAACAGTAACCATCGTCAAAAATCTAAGTATAGATGGCAGTTTATTATTGTTGTCTATTTTCAGGCACGAGACTTCGTCGTCTATGTTGTAAAATGCCACATATTTTGTAGTGCACGAGGTAACCCACTTTGTACATGCTTTAATTCTCAGTTGATTTAATATTTAGTATCAACACATTATACATAAATACACACAGATATATATATATATATATATTTATATATTAATGAGGAGTTCTTTCAATGCATGAACTACAACAACAAAGTTAAATTTATCATAATGGGATTGAATCTATAAGCAATGCAGCAACGGAATCTTTAATCCATTTCCCAACATGTGTATAGCCATCACCATCTTTGTAGAAGAGATCATTTACTCTTGAAAGATTAAGAGCTCCAACTAGAACAGGCATAGGCACAACGGTTGGCTTAAGGAGCTCCTGGTTTAAATCTTTCCATGCCTTAATCACTTGTTTATTCAATTCTTCATATGCCTCTTGTTCTGACACTCCGTATTGCTTTGTATAGCATTGAACAGAAGATGCTATATGTTCTCTTTTTTGCTCAAACTGAAAAAAAAAAATTATCATATGCTTATTACGTCACGAGGAAATCTTACATGTACATAAAAATTTAAGAACAAATTGCACTTGAACTCATGAGTCATGATCCTATTGCATTAGGGTGTATTCAATACTTCATATGGGAGACAACGGGAAAAAGAACACTTTTTCTTTTCCTAAGAGTATCTCGACCTTATATTTATATGTTTACTTACCAAATCAAAATGGTAGTTTGATGGTCCTATATTACCAATCTTAACAATAAAGGGAATGAGTTTTAAATCTACTTACATATTCTTGCCAAGAAGACATAAACTAATCCAATAATTAATTGATTGCGTAAGAACATGCTAATTTAGTAATTACATTTATAAGGTTTCTATTCCTAATTAGTAAGTAAATACTAGAAACAGGGTTGAATTATTTCGTATTTTACTTTCTTATGGATTATAAGTAAACAATACAATGTTCTCATTCTCTGATTCTCATTTGCTTACTTGATTTCCGTGCCAAACTTATCACCTATCCTATTATATTTTGGAGGATAAATATGCTCTAAAGATATTAAGACGTTGGATGACAATGATTATCTTAACCCTCTAATAGTCTACTAAAATTATTTTGCTAATTTCTTTTTAAATGATTTTGGTCAAGATGGCCTTCCGTATTTTGATCTATACCTTGTGAGAAGTAATGTCATTCATCACCCGACCAATGATTGCTGAAGCTCTAATACTTTTTGGGTCGTTAAACGCCCACTCAAAGATGTCTTTGCTTACAATATCTCCCATTCCAACAAAAGACGTGATTGCAATCGTGGGGATAGAACTAGAAAGCCATGCAACGTCTAAATATTCCTCCAAAGATGGAATGTATCCTTGGTTTAGCCATCTCGCTTCGTCAAAGTAAGCTCGAGCTAATCTTTTCATCTGACATATAAATATATAATATATATTTATCTATATAAATAATTTATAAAACGCACAAATATTAAACTAGAGTCGAAGATATTAACAACTATATTAAAAGGGATAAACAGAGCTGGTCCTAAATATCGTCTTATATATGTACCGCTTCTTTTGCATAGTAAACTCGGTATTTTTCTTCCTTTCCCATCTCTTCCTCAAATTCTTGGTAAACGTTTAAAAGGGTTTCGAAAATTAGTTGCATATATTCCGGGAGTTGATCCTTGAACTTAATATCCCACCTGCAATAAATATATGTAGTGATGGAATCGGAAAATTTTCATAGTAAAATATTAAAAGTAAACAAAATAATTAAATATTGTATAGTGATAATGTTCTATTTTTATTAAAAAAAGGTACATATAGATTTTTTTTTTTATTGTGTGGAGGTGCAATTAGCATTAATTTGTAATTTTTTTTTGAAGTTATAAATAGCACAAATGCACAATTACAGGTTTTGGAAATCTGTGGATTCCAAAAAAGGGCATCAACACCTTTCAATTGCTGCAGTGAAGAGCTCCAATTCTTCAAATGTAGCATACAAGTCGTAGGTATCATCAAGAATTGATATGAAGGCGATGTGTTTGGTTAGAATTTTTCTTCCAAGCGAGTATTGAGGCTCAAAATACAACGCCAATGCCCAAACATACGTTTCCACAATCCTATCTCTTATATAAGGTAGCTTATTTTCAAAGTCTAGTTCCTTCCACCACCTACAATATTATAAACAAGCAATATCAGTCTCCACAATTCACCTAATTACTATTAAAAGAACAAAAGAAAAAGACAATAGAAAGGCACAAAAATTTAATGTGATTCGACAATATGCGTATATTCACATTCTAGAAAATGGGAGACAACTTACTAATAAGTTGCATACAAGTTCAAGTTACAATACAGAATTGGATAATTTACCTAATACTATCTAATCAACTAAAATTAATCAAGAGATTTCTTAATATAAATTTAATTATAAATAAAATGGAAACTACTAATAAAAAGTATGTATATAATATGTTTTAACTTTTCTTAATAATTAGACTGTAAGTTTATCAACTTTATTTTAGTATGCGATTAAAGAGCTTACCTAGTAATGTCACCAAGTTCCTTTTTATACAAAGATTGGAGAAGATTAAAATCTAATTTTGCGAGTTCCAATAATGCTTTGTTATGTGAAGCATCATCTTGGTAGATTGAGATGTACTGCCTGGCCTGCAATCTTTCTAGGCTCTTCAGCTGTGGCCACTTTAGGGCACAAATTATTTCTTCCAATAACGGCCGGTCGGTTTTTTCTGCACTTGCCAAGGACTTGAGGAGAGTGGTGGTGAAGACAAGGGCTTCTTCTAGTGTGTCTTCTCCATGCAACCCTAGATGTGAGGCCTCATAAAAGGCAAGCATACTAGAGATGTCATCTGCCAAGCATTCCTTATACTTTCCAGTACTTTCATCTTTAAATTTTTCAAATACATCTGATTGTCAACATTAAAAATCATACATCAGTAAAAGTGTGAGTATTTATTTATTTTTTAAGATTCTTAACGTTTTTGTTCCTCGAACTTTGATTGAATTGACACTCCTTAACTTTTTTAAGTATTCTAAATTACTCTCAAACTTTAAGAAAATATGACAGTGTGCCGCGAGATTAATAAATATTATATATCCAAATTTGAAAGGAAATGCCTTTACGCACATGAGATAACGTACTCCAATTATCATACGAAATCTTAAACGAACTCACGTAACATGAAAGCTCATATATGAAGTCACTTTGCATGATACTTTGTTAAATTTAAAAAATACTTAATTTTCTATAATAAAAAACTCAAAAAGATAAATCACACTTTTTGTAAAAAAAAAAAAATTATTATAATTTGGCTTATTGAGACTCACCAGATGAAACATTATATCCGTGTTGTCTTAGAAGCCGAAAACGAAGAGCAACATCATACAAAACTCTATCATGATTGACTTGGTTTTGATAGGTTTCAAATATGTGTCGAAGTGTTTCCTCCATTTCTCTTTTAAAATGATATGACAGTCATAATCGCTGAACTGAATCGACTAACTTCAATTGTTCTGAAGAATCCTTTGCAATATTTTCGAATAACTCCCTCCTTACCACTTCCTTTAGTTCTTCAACTTGCTGTTTCGTCCTTTCATTTCTCTACAGTACAAAAAAAAAAACACACATATATATATATATATATATATACTTGCACGTGATGATCGTAAATAAGAAGGCAGAAATAAATACATACACACATATATTTATTATCAATTAAAGGCCATATTTTAATAAAAATTTATGATATGACGTTGTAAGAATCTAATTTTTTAAATTAATTAACTACCTAACGTAATATAGCAGTTTGATCTCTCTATCACACAGTTAAAATTGTTATGCCTGCCAATGGATAAGTATTAGAGTAATTAGCCACGAAAAATCGTACTCATATAATATGTATACACACACGCATTAATCCTAAGCTCTGAAGTAGGAGACCAAGAATAGTATTATATTATAATATATACTTCCTCTTCAAATGAGACATACGGACCTATAGGCCAAGGTTTGAATTCAAATGTTTCTGAGAGCATTCTAATATCAATTCATCCCAAAAAGTTAAGCTTATATTAGGAGAGGGTGAAAATAGTATAATGTGATAATAGAGAATCCTACTAAAAATATAACTTGCATATATATTAAAAATTATATATACTTCCATGTCTCTAGAATCATAGTTGAGAAATCGGTCTCCCCAAATGCTGGGATGATATGTAGCTGTCCGCCGAGGGATTTCAGGTCTAGTATTTTGGGCTAGAACTGGGATAGTGATACTCATTTTTGGTATAGTAGTCTTGGAAACTATAACTAGAAAGAGGAATTTTGGGTCTTGCTAGTAAGCTTGATTTTCTGAATGTGGTTTGTATGCTTTTAGCGCTAGTGTCTTTATATAGACCAAGTAAATGATTTGACCGATCAGCTACTCGGACTGATTTCCTTAGCTTCCAATCATCAGTAGTAGACGTTAATTATAGAAAATAGACCTTATAATTTCATTTTGACATGTAAATAATTCCTGAAATTGTCCATTCAAGCCACACTCGATATATATGTAGTCTTTTGGAAAAATGCGAATGCATTTGTATCCTCAACAAGGTGTTGACTGTTGAGTTTATAGTGTACTAAATACAACGTTTGGTCCACTGTTATAATATATTGTATTGTATAATTTGTTTTTGTTTTTGTTTTTTCCATCTTAACATTTTTCTATATCTTTACTTTTTCTCTCATCCTAATCTCTCCATCTTATTAATTTGTTCACTTTCTCTTTTCTCTTTCTCGCTTTTACTCGTCCAACTCAGTGTTAATCTCTCTCTAGACTATCTGATTTTGGACGAAAGTGGTACCAGAGAAACCGCTCCAACATTTGTCAGCATTTTTGGTTTAAACTGCTAACATGTTAGAGCGGTTTTGAGTCGAGATTTTCACAAACATCCAATAAGAAAAGGTCCATTTAAATTACCACCAAGTGCCTATTATTATGAATCGATTTTTATAACATCATCATTATTTATATAGTCTATTGCATATTATTTGATTCGTGTTCTCCTGTGTATTCGACAAACATGTTTATGTAATATGGTAATTAGAATTTATATTTTAAATTTCTACATATATGACATAACCTAAAGTATTTCAATTTCAGTAGTTCAATAGTTAACCTAAATGGCACTCCTATGAAAACTTACTAGGCTCCTTAAATTCAAGACATGAGCCTAATTATTGTCTTGACGATTATTGTCTTATGTAGAGATAAAATAAATATTGAGAGTTAAATTAGAAAAACATTTATAAATTCGGTTGCATTATTTCCTTAAAGGAGGTTGGGGTGCTTATTTATAGTTAGAGGTTAAAAAAAAGCACAGAGTTGAGAGATCTGCGATTTTATCTTGTAAATTTATTTTTCGTCAAAATAAAATTTTACAGCAGCTAAAAGCGGACATAGCTCTCCTATCAATAGTGAACCCTCATGTGTTATTTATTTACTAAGAATAAAGTTGCATACTCTTTTTTGTTTGAATTCTTTTCCGCAATTTTATTGCTCTCGATAGGAAAGAATTATGGCGTCTAATTTTTAAGAAAATCATCGGCTAGGTTTTTAACAAACCACGTGCCATTAAAGAAAAAACCTTGCCACTCCCATTAGCCAGAAACTGCTTAAACTACACTCAGTGGTACATATATAAACATCCCTAGCATTGGTCATTCAAAATATTGTATAGATGTAAAATATTTACCTTATAATCTTTTATTATATAGGCCACAAATGTGGTTGTAGGTACAGGCTAACTTACCAACTCAGATGGGTCAGAAACCGCTTATATTGCACTCAATAGTACATATATATACATTATAAGGCGTAGAATTCAAATCGCCTACCTATTTTTTTTAATTAATTACAAAAATTTTTCTTGAATTATATCCCCAGTAACCCTTTGGCCTATAATCTTTAAAATGTAACATCTGTCCCCTTTAAAATAAAAAAGCCCATTTTATTAAGTTTTTAACTGAAATTGATATTTAATTTGCTATTTTGAAGGTATTTTAATAATTCTATAGTTTACAATTTAATTTAAATTTAAACTAGTTTAAATATTAAACAAAAACTTCATAAATTTTTTTATTCTATCAAAAAAATTTATAAGATTTTTAATTTATCTTCAATCAATAATGGACGTACCGTAATTAAAAGTTCAAACTTAAATCAGTTTCAAAATTCAAACTAAATTTTAAACCATAGAACTACCAAATAGCCCAAAATAACAAATTACATGTCAATTTCCCTTAAAAAACCTAACGAAACGGATTTTTTTTGTTAACATTTTATTGTTTGGAGAGAACAGGTATTACGTTTTGAAAATGAAAAAGTAGAGAATTTACCCTTAAGAGTGCATGAGTCTAGACTTTTACCTTTTACTCTTGATAAATACCCTTTTATTAGTGTACTTATTTGACTAAAAAAGTTATGAGTCAAGAGTAAACGGTAAAAATCATGACTCATGCACAGTTTGAGAATATTTGTCAAGATTACCTTTTAAAAATTGAAGGGTAAAGTGTTATAAAGGGTATATATGTCAAGGAAATTTTTATAATTAATCCTTTGGTTTTTTTTTTTTTTTTTTTTATTATTATAAATAGGGGCCACAAAAATGACCCAGAAAACTAATCGAGATGTAACCTTCATGACGTGCGGCTAACTATAAAGTCTAGATCAATTTTAAAAGTATTTAGTAAAAAAATTAAGAAAAATAATTTATTTTTCTCTCTTTTCTATGATATGTCATTAAAATCTCTGGCACACAAGTTTCCATCATATTCAGCAAAGAAATATAGAGATAATTACAAAAATAGAGAAAAAAATAGGGATAATTTTATTTTATTGATTGGTTATATATTAGTTTCCCTATTTCTGATATATTTTTTTAATTTCGTTTGAGAGCTTATCCATAATCTTTTGACGTTGGTTAAAAAGTTTGTGCCATTTTCTTCGCTGGTGATGTTGCTCTTTGTTCTGTTTCTTGGCTAGTGAGAGGCAATTCTTCCACACAATCCAGTCTTTTTCAATTCTTTCACGGGCATGTTTTTCGATTTTGAATTGGTTCATGTGATTTTCATAGTCATTTCAATAATGACGCATCTTAAACAGATATGGAAGCAAAAAGCAATACGTTCCCTTTATTTCTTGTTGCTCATGATAGCATCATCATCATAATGAAATTATTAAGTTAAGAATCTCTTATTACTACCAAAGAAGTGATGTGTGATAGAGGAATTTATTAAGTACGCACTTTGAAGATAAAATATTGACATGCCATTAATAAAGCACCGCCAATATGAAGCAAATTTAATTATTCCACTATTTTCATGTTTACGATTCGTTTTGGATTATTTACCAACATTTCCGTATTCATATTAGGAGATACAAAACCCCCATCCGAAAAGGATGGAAGGCTCAATCATATAAGGAGTAGGCATAGGAGAATTCTCATTCCACATGAAATGTACAATACTAGGAAAACATCTATATCGGTATATCCACGTTGATTATATTTCCGGATGAAAATATCAGTGTCGATAAAGTAACAAAGATTTCAATATATAAAAATATCGTGTAATAATATCGATACAGTGGTATCTGTCCAATAATATCGGTATGAATTAAAACACATAGTATGTAATAGCTGTGAAATGTTAGTATTTCACAAAAATAAAAATAAAAATGATTAATTTTATTTTTGTTCTCGTAGTTTGGAGTGAATCCCATTTTTGACACTTAAAATGTCCAAAAATTAGTTTCCGATTTATAGAATCGTCCCATCAAAGTCTTTCCATTAAGACTAGAATTATTTAGTACTAATTTGTGATATGAATTTTTTCTTTTTATAAAATTTATTCTTGAAAAAGAAGGAGGTTATAAAAGGATTGATAGAGCTATAATAGAAATTTAAAGATTGAATGTTGCTTGGTATGCCTATGTTGGAGAACTTGGGTTACTAGAATTACCTAGCAATAATTTGTAATGTAAATTTCCTATATGAGATCTATTTTTGAAGAAAAAAGGTTTTCCAGTGGCCAAGTTATAATTAAAAGTTAAACGATGGTTTGTCCTTCTACTTTATTTTTATAGAGAGGAGAGATCTCTTAAGTAGTATCAAGTAACATCAATTTTTATGGATTCTTAATGAAAATGATTTTAATAAGACAATTTTATAGATTAAAGATTAGTTGTAGGACGCTTGGATTAAAACAGGATTCATCCCTATTCGGGAACCGTAATTGAGATTAACCCAAAAACTTACGTCGTTATTTACATGTAGAACATGTGTTTACTTATAATATCATTGATATACTGAAAAATCTATACTACTCAAGCAAATTATCATAAGCACGGACAATAAAGATATCAGCAATATTCTAAATACATATGAATTATATCAACAGTCAATGCGGAGTATATTTGTTGGAAAATTATTGGAGATAGGGCATAAACAACATATATATTAGCTAGTTGGAGAAGTATCTTCCAAAAATATCCATAAAATATAATAATGTTGGGGAAGAAATTAGAATAAGTTGCGACATTATTTTATTATTATAAAAAAATATACTGATGTTTGATGTTTTCTTGATTTTTTTTTTTATTTAAAAAACATGTATGTTATTTCCTAATATTGGTGAAAGCTTCAAAACTATTGATATTTCAATCATTGCCCACAGTTTATGTTGATATTTCAATCCTTATCCACAGTTTATTTATTTATTTTTAATTCAGTGACAGACTTGTCTTAGTCCTTTTAATTAGTACGTAGCCTTTAGGTCGGCCTCTACTTAAACCATAGCTCAACTCACAAAAAATACATTTAACTAGATTTAACTAGAGTCATGAATAAATACTTGAAGTGTTTTTACTAGGAGAATTTAAAACAAAAACTTTAAACTTCGACAATTTAAAACAAAAACTTTAAACTTCTTATATAGGCCTAAGATTCCTCTTTTTATGCTTCCAAGCTGATGTGGGCTTAGGTTCTCTCTTATTTTGCCAAAAGCCATAGGAGTAAAGGAAAGTGTTGTGGTTGAATATAACTCTACAAATTAACGTCTAACCAACGATATGTGCGCATAATGGAGGAGACACATTGAAAGCGTAATAATACATATCAATCTCTCAATGATTGTTCTTCTTTTTTGGGAACTCTCAAAATATTGAGCGATTCGTGAATCTCAAAGTGCAACCATAGCTTTTGAATTAATTTGAAAAATTTCAAAAACTCTTAAAAAGTACTTTCTTCGTTAAGATGTAACGCTATAGACTACTGATCTCAAAAATGCTAATTATAAAGAGAC